TTGCAATGAGGAGGCATTGGCGTTCCCTGAACTTGGTGGTTTGCTGGCAGACGTTTTATTACCCGACTAGGTAACAACATCAGATGTTACCTAGTCAGATAATGAAACGTCTGCAAGCAAACCACCAAACTCGGACTCCCCCCCACCCGGTCCTTGAAAAAGTGTTTCTGAGTGAAACTGGTCCCTGGCACAAAAAAGGTTGGGGACCACTGCTCTAGTAGAAACATAAATGTGAAATTTTAGATGCAATTGTTCTCATGAGAGGCAATTAAAGATTTTTGAAAGTGACGCCTTGCAGTTTTTTCCCAACCTGTGACTTTCTTCTCATCATCGTCATAGTTGCTGGAGGTTAAAAGATGTCCAAAAATAAGAGCTGGCACATACATTTTTTCTACTTGATGCTCAACGATAGGGATTCCTTTCCCATCATTCCACACAGAGATTGTGTTATTTTCTCTAGAAAGAGAAGATTAAACTGATATTCAAAGAAGTCCAAAGCAAACTTTTTGTCTCTCCAGATAAAAAAAGAAAAAAATATTATTCACTGAACAATAGGCAACTCTCAACAGCAAATTCAGTTACGCTAAATGTGATCAGAAAGTCAAATTCTATGCTAATCATTACACTATTATTTAAATCTACAAGAATACAGATTCAGTTTCACATTCCCTTCCTAATGAACTAATCCTCAATGAAAGTCAGAAATATTAAATATTAAAGCAAGACTTACGGGTCAATTGTAACTTTAATACAAGACATATTTTCATCTCTCTGTTTATTGTCCGCTGCATTGACTAAAAGAAAGCAATACAATTTTTTAGTGGTTGGTAACATTTGCAAGTTAAAACTCTTGATTTAGTTTTCAGTTATGCAACACTGAATTTCAACAAGTTCTGCCAAACAAGACCAAGCATTTTGTACACATTTTGTTACCTATTCAAAAAGCTAATTCGTTGCAATACCTTTGTATATTCAGGCATGATATTCCCCTCTGAAAAAAAAATCTGAAAAGTAGCCAGGGGTACAGGGGTTGCCTAAGCACCCGCTAAGCATCCGCTCAGCTCCCCGCCCTGACCTCAACTAACACCCCCCCTTTCTCTCTTTCCTCTCCCCCCCACACCCCTCCAGGTCTTCCCCAGCAACCCCTCCCTGCACAGAAGCCTCAGCTGGTGCTTTCGGGATCTTCCTCGCCCCCCTGCATGAGATCCTCCGAGCTGCGGGCTAAAGGCGGCAGGGCTCCTCCGGGCTGATCGCACAGGCACCTGGCAGCTGGGGGGGGAGGGGAGGGAGAAGAGACCCGGGGCGTGACGTGGGTCTACTTTCCTCCCCACGGAGAACTTTTTTGCATCCGGCGTGGGTAGTTCGGCGAGAGGCGGCGGCTCTATAACCCCAAAGGCAGCTCTCGCCCGACATCAGCGCGCGCGCACGGCCACACACAGAACACCCACTCACTATCCCCACAGCATAAGAATAACAGGAATAATAGTCTTCTTCCCCCCCTCCACCCGCCTTGCAGTTGCGACTTGTGTCCCCGCTCCTTGGCTCGGTTTTTCCTGCAACTGACTCCCGCCTCACACTTTTGAAAGAGCGAGAGGGGCCTGAGGAGTCGTTGAAGCACGCCCCGTTAGTGGGGTGGGAGGAGAGAGAGAGAAAGGCATATTATTACATGAGCCTTTTAAACTCGTGAGAATGGGCTTCCCGGGGAAAAACCGTTTATTTACATCTGGGTGGCCAGAAATCGTTTGCAAAACCGCTTCGCCTTCGCCAGTCCTCTTTACAAAGCACCGCCGCAGCTCTTCCTTTTTGCCTTTCCCTTCCCGAGGCAACGTGGGACTGGAGCCACGTGGAGCCGCGCCGGGCAGTAGCAACTCCTGACTCAGGGGGCCTCCGAGGGGAGGGGAAGGAGGAGAAGAAAGGGGGGGAAAGGGGGGGCTGATTCCCCCCAAAAATCGGAATTCCGATTTTAGTCGGAATAGTATCATGTCTGTATATTATTGTTCATCAACAATGGATCTAAAAAAAATCCTCCTAAAATGCTTGATGCCTTCACTATGAAAGCATTTTATCCACATGTCAACATACCTAGTATTTCATCGAAGATTTTATAAAGGCCAGGAACAAAGGTGACCTCCCTGCAATTCAGTCCTTCATCTTCATCAAACACCCACATTTGCTAAGAAAAAAGTAATTTTATTTATCTGCTGCAAAATCTTGAGGTACCCAGAAATATATACTATAATCAGTGTATTAATTTTAATGTTTCATAAAAGCCTGATTTGTAAAAAGCATACTTTTAAGTTTTCATAAATGTATAGCCTATTGTGTTCAGATTAATCATAAACGGTTTGTAATGAATTTTCTATATAAGAAATTGTAAACTATTTGGCTGATAAAATATAATTTGCCAAGGGAAACCTTAATTATAATTTTGATAGCACATTACAAAGTACTTTGGGAATCAGGGCAACTTGTCTTTGCCGCAAACAGATTTTTTTTTTACCTGAGTTACTTGCTCCACAGATCCAATGTACGTATCAGGTCGAAGCAATATATGCTCCAATTGAGATTTCTTCTGATAGATTCTTTCAACAGATAGCCTCTTCTTTGAATTCTCATTCTTTATCTTCTTCACTTTGGGGTTCACATCCAGAACCTCAATGGAAATAAAACAAGAAAAAATGCAAGGAGATATTCACTGCCTGCCTACCAGTTTGTAATAGGAACTCAGGTGGGATGGCAATACATAGAACATAAATGCCAGTGCTAAATGTTGAATGAACAAGGCAAATTGAAGAGTAAAGAGGTACATGTTTCTGGAGGTCAGCTCCAGATTAAACATTTTAGCTGGCTGGGTATTACAGGGAATATACATTGTACAAAAGCAGCTTCATATCAAGTCAAAAAGTGTCCAATAGCATCTTGCCAAGACAATTCTGTGTCTTGTACTGTCCACATAAAAAGGTCAAATGCAGTTTTATGCTGCTGCTTCTTTCAGGGCTGATACGATTGGGACAATAGTGATCTCCAGTTGCTCTCTGTAGGACAATGCACAGGGGAAAAAGGACTATTCTTAAGAGGGAGTGATTAAACATCATGCCATTTAAGATAAGATCTGCCCCCAACCGCCTTTCATTCCATAAGAGCCTAAAGTGCTGGCTCTGTAAATTGGCCTGGAGACTCAATGGGGGAGTTGTATTCTGGAGGTGGATACTAGATTGACAGCAGGCTCCATCTCTCGCCCTGCCTCTCTAATCCACACTTGCCCATTTTTGGGAGTAATTATATCAATATATTTTCCTTCATTTCTTTTTCCTTATTATTCTATTAATTTACTTTTGTTTAACCTTCCTTCTAATTTCTTTTATCGTTGTAAGCTACCTAGCATAGCCCTAGGGCGAGATAGGCAGCAAATTGAGTTAATAATAATTAACTGCAACACTAAAGCTGATCAGGAATGAAGGCGAATATACAGGATAATATTGCAGGATCCAATCTGGATCAGTCATTGGGATGAAAAGTTTTGTATTCTGAGCTTTCGGACTCATAATGGAACCCTCAGAGTTCCCTGAAGATGGGGTCCAGCATGAATCTGGAAGCTCGGAATACAAAACTTTTCATCCCAATGACTGATCCAGATTGGATCCTGCACCTAAAGCTGATGTTCAATTGTATCTAGCTGCCTTAAAAGGCTCCTGGTTGATTTAGCATGCTTGTAGTTTATCTGTGCCTCCATGTAACATAGGTGGCAAGTTGATTGCCTCCCACTTGGAAACTTCTTGTCTGCCAGCCGATTGTGATCAAATTATTCCCCTTTCTAAAATGTAATTCACCCCAAGTTACGAATAAGGTTAAGTATCTGGGGATACATTTGACAGCAAGATGTAGCACATTAAAAGAGAACAATTATATTAAACTTAAACAACAGATAGCTATAGAATTGAAGAAATGGGAAAACTTGCAATTGTCATTAATAGGGAGAATTTCAACAATTAAGATGAATATTTTACCTAGAATCCTATTTCTCTTTCAAACAATACCAATTAGGCTCGGAAAAGACTATTTTGATGATTTAAATAAAATTATGTTGAAGTATATATGGCAAGGTAAGAAAGCGAGAATAAAGCTAAAGCTCTTGCAAGATGCTAGAATTAGAGGAGGTTTTGGTCTGCCCAATTGGGAATTGTACTATCAAGCTGCAAGTTTGATGTGGGTTAAGGAATGGATAACATTAAGAAAGACTAGATTGTTGACATTAGAAGGTCATGACTTGCTGTTGGATTGGCATGCTTTTTTATGGTATAAGGGAACTAAAACACAGGGTTATTTTAGAAGACATTATATACGGGAGTCTTTGTGGTTAAACTGGGAGAAGATAAAAAGACAATGTTATTTGAAAATTCCAGTTTGGTTATCGACTATTGAAGCATTTTCCTATCCTATAATTTATAAGAAGGAACAAACAGTTAGATATGGGGAACTATTGGATGAAAAGGGTGAACTTAAATCAATACAAAGTTTAGAGGAACAAGGTATAAAGATGAATTGGTTTTCATATGCGCAAATACATTCAAGGTATGATGAAGATTCTAAAACAGAGGGATTCTATGATAAACAGACTGATCTAGATAAGATTTTGATGGGTATTGATGAGAAGGTGATTAAAAAATTATATGGTTATTTACTGGGAATTAAATTAGAAGAGGAACAAGTTAAAGAAACTATGATTGTTTGGGGGAAGAATTTTGGATATGGGATTGATTTAGAGAAATGGCAAAAATTGTGGTCTCAAAATTATAAAATGACAATGTCAACAGCATATAAAGAAAATTTGTATAAGATGTTTTACAGGTGGCACTTTCCCCCAACAAGAATAGCAAGAATGTTCAAGAACAAATCTGAAAAATGCTGGAAATGTCATCAGATACCTGGCTCATATTACCATATGTGGTGGACTTGTGAGGACGCTAAAAAATATTGGACTAAAATTCGCATGTGGTTGGAAAAAATGACAAAAAAACGTGTAGATTTGAAACCGGAGTTCTTTTTATTGGGAATATACATATAGTAAAGATTTGAAATACCTGATTGTAAATGTGTTAACAGCGGCTAGGATTGTATTTGCTAAAAACTGGAAGAATGAGAAAATGCCATCACAGGAAGAAATTATTAAGAAAATATTGGAATGTGCTGAGATGAGTAGATTGACATTTGAAATTAGAGAGCAAGAGGATAAACAATTTTATGAAATTTGGGATCTTTTTTATCAGTGGCTAGATGACAAAATACGATAATAGAATATTTAGAAAGTTAGATAGCAAGGAATACTTTTATTTTTTCTTTTGCCTATGTTATTTGACATTATATCTATAAAGTGTTTTTAGGATAGATTTGGTATGATTATATGATTTGTTATAGAATAAACTGTTTGAAGTATTGTTCTCTCATAAAGCATGAATGATTAAAAGTATAGTTAAATGATTTGTTAATAGCGATATTAGGATATATAAGTTTGGATTGACAATATGAGTTGTTATGTAATATAACTGCAATTAAGACTACGAAATGAATGCACAAAATCGATGAACCAACCGACACACTGTATGTACATAAGAGAGTTGATGTTTTAATGTTTTGTTTGTCTTGTTTGTTTGTAGAAAATTAAGAAAATTGTTTTTCATAAAATGTAATTCACCCCGTCTCTTAAAAGATTTCCATTCCTTTAATGGAACCGATTCTGTTAGAAGCCAGACCTGAGACTTTAGTTGTACAAGGTGCATTGA